CCCCCGCCCCCCCCCCTTTTACTGTATTACCCATTCCCCCCACTAGGTACCCCACAAAGAACCGTAAGGTGTGTAAATTGGGTTACTGTGGCCACCACCACCTAAAGCGAAGAATACCCCCACAGCCACCCAGTCTATGCATCCCATCCCATCTACACCCAGAAGAAAGAAAGGGGCATTAAAAAAAATGGATCAACCAATCCAGGTAAAGAAGGGAAAAAGAAAAATCAAAAATCAACGCCCCAATCCCAGATGTGAGGTATGTACCCATGGCCATCTCTAATACCAACTCCATCCCATTTCGCCCATTCACCAAAGGGAAAAAAGCCAAGACAAAAAGAAAGAAAAAATGTGTACCTGTAAAGGTAAAGGTTTGGAAAAAAAGTCAACTCGAAACTCCACCCATCCATTTTTTTCCCACCATACAAGAAGGGCCACCTAAAAAGAGCCAATCTCCATATGTGCAAATTTCATGTATGATATACAACTTCCTTCGGAAGTCTTCGGAAACTCGATTTTGCGAGACAAAGCGAATAATGAGCGAAAGGACGGAGGAAGCAAGGTATGTCTAGTGACTATGATTATGACCTGTATGATCATGATCATGATCATCGGTATGTGTAACAGAACTTGGTGCCGATGTGGAACAGCAACCCTTACTATTGCAATTCTCAATGCAATTCAACAAACAATCCTCATCAACACGACTGTGAGGTGTCGAGTTTCCATCTAGACCCATTCCTCGCGAAGTGTTGAGATGATCATGGCCATCCTTGGTGCAGAACTCCGGTTGGATCGTAGCGCTGTGGATGTTATACTCATGCAAGCATTTCTTGATTTCCTTTGCGAGTGCCATGTATCTTGTACCACCTGCTTCATCAAGCGGAAAGGCAATTTGGACATGCATGGAGGCCACGATTTGACTCTCACTAAGTTGCCAGATATGAGGATGGTGACAGCTAACAACACCATCAAGAGTCTCGATATCTTCGATGATGGCATCTTGATCGATGGAATCAGGAGTGGCCTGGAGAAGGATCTTGGCGGTAGCCTTGGTCAATGGAATTGCTGATCTGAGAATGATGATAGTGATGAATAGTGATACGGCAGGATCTGCATAGTAACGACCAGGCCAATTCGTGAGCCAGATAATAAGAGCTGATACAATTACTCCGACATTGCCGAGAGCATCACCAATGACATGCAAGATCATGGCATTCATTCCCATGTCATCGTGGTTATGACCATGACTATGACCGTTCTTTGCCTTTTTTGGCTTTCGGTGGTTATGGTTGTTATGCTTATTGGCATTATGCTCTGCGAGTAGTGGCGTCTTCGGGGTAGGAGCGATAGGAAGTCTTGTCTCAGCAATATCACCATCCTCCTCGCCATCCTCACTGGAAGACTCGGGCGGTGGTTGACTTGCTTCGATAATGGCTTGTCTAAAGCTTGATGGGTAAAAGCTCATATCTTCAACATTGGATAATCCTCCTCTGCTTGTTCGACGCTTGTGCTTTCGAGCCTTGGTTGGGCTGGAAGGAACCGAGTCGGAACCGTGGTCGTGGTCGGAAGGAGGGAAATGAATATGACCCTTGGAAGAATGTTTATTGCCTTTTACCGCATCTGCGTAAGACTCTCCATCATGTACAAGGCGATTGTGGTCATGGTCATGATCATGTTCGTGGTTATGCTCATGCTCGCCATGTGCGTGGCTGTGGCTATGTCCCTCCTCAGCATCTCGAATTTCGTTGCCATGAGAATGACTATGACCATGGGCGCTTCCATCTCCAGGTCCATGAGAATGGCCGTGACCACCCAATACCAAGAATCCGACCAAGTTGGAAGCCAGACCACAACATCCTACGATCAATATAAGTTTCGGATTGCTGATGACAGGAGGATCGATGAAGCGAACGATGGATTCCAGCATGATGGACATGCAAAGGGCGATGAGGAATACAGCATTAAAAAATGCACCAAGGATCTCTGCTCTTAACCACTGAGAGATAATTAGTTATGCGACTGAAGTTAAGCAAACGCAAGACTTACACCATAGGAGTATTTGACGGTTGAACTTTTCCTAGCTGCCTTGACAGCCCATAGACCGATCAAGAGCGATATAATATCATTAAGCTGCGCCGATCAGTACATCGTAGTCTGGAACAGAGGGTTTCTTACCATGTGGAAGGCATCTGCCATCAACGCCAGAGACCCCACCCAGAGACCGACACCCAATTCTGTAAAGAAGAATGCCGTATCAATTACCACCATGGCAATGATTCTTGTTTCTTTGGAGATCGCCATCGTGGCGGTCGTGCACGAAGCGGCGAATCGGCGAATCGGCGATTGATGTGACTGTAGATGATGTTGAGGAGAAGATTATGTTGTGTTGTTGCGTGTTGATGCGCAATCGTTTTGTAGGTAGACTGACCGACCCAAGAGCCAAGAATATTTGTTGGATACCGTTATTGTTAGTGGTAGACGACGTTCATCCAGTAATGTGTGAAGAGTTGCGATGCGCAAAGAAGGAGCAGTTCCTTCTGTAGGAGGCTAGAAGGACTGGACAGATTTTGGTTCCGCCGTTGCCTTTTGTTCCTCAGCCAAAAGTCAATTTCGCAGGTGTCAGTGCTGTCCCTCTAGTCTGATGCTATGATCAGATGCTGTAATCCGACAAGGAAGAGGAAGTGGAAGCAGTCGCGAAGGGCCAGGGCCGCTGGGCGCGTAGGGGACGGAATGCTTATGCACTACGCTGCCACTCCAACAGAGACAACTCCACAATTTTTTGGAGAGGATGAAGAGAAATTGAGATCAAATAAAATCAAAAAGTTGGTGAAGAGTATGGGAGTTGGATGATTAAAAGTCGGAAGCCGGCTGTTTTTTTGTTGGTTGATAGTAAGCAAACGTCACCTTTTTCTCATTGTGGAGGCCCTTCCTTGTCATTTCTCCAAGCTACTTGTATGCCTGTGGCGTTACAGTATCATACTCGAGTACTCAAGTACACCTGTTTACGCTGAGACCGTTAACATGACGAACGTGATAATCTCCCGTTTCACGCTAGCAAAACTCTATTCATTACACAGTCTAACCAAGAAGAGTAAACACGCTATATATATACTTTCCCAGAAACTCAGGAGGAAATCTAGACCTATGAATTTGTAGCCCTGCTGTAGAATAAGGCCGGTGCTACAAGCATGCCACTAGTAGCCTCCCTACTTGTTAATCTATTAAAGATTTGTCAACAGAGCAAGTCAATCTGAATCACTAGAGAAACAATATTGCCACATTCGGTCTAATTTACCCTTCCTAACCTCCCATTCATAGAATCGTATAGATAAATAACGAACACTACTCAGATACTTATCAACAAGGAAAGTGGGGTCTGTATCCCCTGCAACCGATGAACGGAGCGAGTAAGTACGTTACGAGTACGCCACAATAAGCACGCTAGCGCCACTCAAGCAACGTAACCCCTCCCTTTAAAATCCAGGGTTTGAACTCAATCATGAGCGATTGAGTTTCCAAACTTCAGACAGTTTTGCTCGAAACGGCAGAACAACAATCGAATGGGGTTTCCCGCGAATCCCCAATTTCTAGTGTCGGTTACTAGTCATAATTGTATCATGGCAGACAACCGTACAGACTTCAATAAATGGGGGTAAAGTGAGGGGCTTACAGTAGTCTTGTACTATGTGGAAGATAAGATAGGTATGCTCCACGGGACGACAATATAATTTGTTCCTCGAAAACCTCACTCGTTTTAATATCTATCAACCATGAACTGATTACAGCACAACTACAAAAGACTTAGTCCTCTTTTCCTCACTTCCCCTCTTCTCAAGCATTACTGCTGGCCCAGAGAAATGGCAATGACAATGGCAATGGTCACGATGGTCACCGAATATGGAGTATGCCTTTGCTAGTCCGCCGACGTTCTTTGTCTGAAGTAGGGTCAAGAGAAAGACGAGTCAAGCTGGAGTCTACTAGTATTTTTCTTTTCTTTTTCTGATATTTGTAAAGTAAGAGATCTAAACCCGAGTCCTAGCGGTACAAATGCAATGGTTTCTTCGTTCCCCGTAGAGGTAGGTTGGGTACATTTCCTCTGCAAGACAAGTGGCCTCATGCCCAATGAGGCCACGGGTTGTACGAATTGGCGTAGGAATGGCCCTATATAACGTGTCTACGGAAAGCCAGACTTCCGATGGAAATATCTCACATCCCCAGAAAATGCAAAAGATTTCCGAGGGTCTGGTTTTTTTTATTTCTATATTCTACCTATCATTTCCCCTCCATCTGAGTAACCTTCCCGGGGATTCAAGTTGGTTACACCCGGTGATTGGAACGACTTCTCTTCTGATACATCTAGAAATCCCTTTTCTCTAGATTAGTCTATGATATTTCAAGAGGACATCGATCATAGACTCACCAATCTGTATCCCTCAATGTAGATTCAATCGCAACCTTTTATAGCTGTAAAGCACCGCCTACAATCCTTCACATTTGACTGCTGAATTTGCCAAATGTTCCACGATGGGAGTTTTCATTTGTTTCATGCTATCGTAAGTCGATGACAGAGTCTTTTAAGAATCAAGATCTTCCATGAGCACGTTGACGATAATCATAAGAATCAAGAATACTAGTAGCAGCTATGATAACAGTCAGTCAAGTATTCCCTCCCTCCCAAAAGAATTGGTCTACATGAACTCACGATGAAGATTCCAAAAGCCAGTAAAACAATCTCATATCCCCCCGAAATGGCCTTTCCTCGTACAATTGCATTTTGATATCTCCACGTTCTGAAGCATCCGATAGATAATGAGTAAATTGCTGCTCCTTGGCAGATACATGCTAGTGGTTTTCCAAGGACATAAAATCCGAAATGATTGGTGGGTTCAGGAATATGTTCGAGACGACTGATATCGTTAGCAAGATTGGAGACGCATAGTTGGTTGTTTGATCATGTCGGTACTTACAATAATTGAGCAACGAGGACGCCCATCATTGATAGGGCAAGTGATGTTCTGAGATAGCCAAGGAATGTTCTTTCGAGTGCTAAAGATAATCGTTAACAAAGTTCAATCTATACCTTGGGTGCACGGATACATAGTTCATCATCTTTCCGCAATGAGCTTGTGAAAACGGTCTTCGCGATGAAGATACAACTGAAGCAGTTCAATCAAAATAAGATCGACACCGAATCAAACTTGAATGGTATAACGTCCAAGCGAAAAACAAGCAATCAAGAAAACGTACCTAAATGATCTCTACAAGTATGGTGATCAACCTTAATGCTAATCTGCCTCCTCCAAAACTTTCTTACCCCCTCAGCAAACCCACCAGGAGACGTAGACGGTTTTTCCGATACAGTAGAGGAAGCATAACGCGTAGAAGCCCGTGTATAATTGCGTCTTAATTTCGCAAAAGTCGCGAGTTCAGTTGCGCCACGAGAGTTCTCATGGATGGAATCCGCTTCATCTGTTTCATGGAGTTCGTTGACTTTGTCGACATGCGGTGTGGTTTGTGAGGTCTGGATTTGCACCGGTTTTATTGCTGCGGGAGGAGAGATGGATGTGCTTTTTGATGTAGATGCGATTGTGGATGTTTCTGTTTCGGCCATGTTGACACTGCAGGTGCATGTACGACAACTACTCGAGAGATATAAATGCGTTGCGTGGAGTTTTGTCCCTTTTTTTGAGGTTCAAGGTTTTAGGTTTTTGGGGGGAATGTCAAGGAAGAAAGTGGGGATGCAGGCTAGGCAGGTAGATCACGGATGTGAAGATGGATTAGAATAGATCTTGTTCTGTGCTACGAGTGGTTGACTGCCTTTATCCGAAGCTATCCTTTAACGCTGTTATTCGGCGCGTCGGGGTCGTTTGGAGTTGCCCGAATATCTGTTGATGGGAGTAGTGGATCCCAAAGAGCAAGCATAGTATATTAGTCAGTGATTGCCTTTTTGCACACTGCCTCGTTGGGTGTAGCTGTAGCTCTTTTGTCCGTCACTATCAATTGCAAACAAGACATCATGTTGGTACCTCGTGTTTGTTCCCTATCTGCTACTCGTATGTTTGTGTGAATGGGAGACATGGCGAGCTCGGCCCGCGAACCGGATAAATGACGTCACTTCTCTCATGGAGCTTCTGATTCCTCTGCGCGCTCATTGTACTCCAAACACCAGCAATAATGCAATGCAAGCGTCGAGTCCGTTCAAAAGAGATACGAGATACCTATGGATTTGTCTCCAATTCCGTCCTTGTGCGTTACGCAGATCGCTGCAGGTGTACATTACTGTGTCCAACCAACCCCCCTCTTTAGCCTCTTGCGGATAGATCCGATCAAAGATCCGAAGAACGACACAAGATAGGGAGGGGCTTTTGCGAGGGTAGGCACAGATAGATACAGATGCAGATACAGATGTAGACACAGATGCAGATACTGTACAGATGCAGATGCAGATACGGCATCTTGTGTACCATACAACATATCCTCTCTCAAAGCTCCGCAGAACCCATCCGTGTCTGCAATTGATGTCCAAAAGAGATCAACTGCAGAAGTGCCCCTTCTTTGCCTGTTACTGAATATGGATCCGAGATTTCTGAGATGGAGATAAGGATTGAACTCGCGGAGGCGGTCCGTCAACACCGGTTTGTTGGTTATCTAGATGTCGATGTTATCACAGTCCTCCGTACGAGTACCTTGAATTTTGTTTGTGTGCAGGTGCTACCTGGGAGGATACTCTGCAGCTCTCCCCGACGCACATCGTCCCTTACCTTTTCGTTCAAATTCATACTGGTGGCAGGCACGAATGAGGTTGATACTGTCGGGTATGATCACAGGTACCTCGCGAGCTAGGTACTCTAGAGTATACACCGTCTAGCTCTTACCGAAAGTTCCGATGTCGATTCCCTGTGCATCGGCGTCAGGTACTTGTGGTACAGGTGAACTTCTCGCTTTGTGAACCCTGCTGGCTTACAACCTCTCGATATATAGAGTCGCCATTGACTCGTTTCTCTGAATTCCAATTAATACCTATTTTGTTCTTGAGCCTTATCCTGACTGGTTGTCAGAAGGTCCTCATCACAAGCTCTCTTCCTTCAATAATTTCTCGCGTCCATAGGAAACAAATCCTCACAGGGCATTAAGCAGTCCCAAATTCCCTGGATAAAAGCCCAACTTTGGTCAAACTGTTTCTCTAATTCTAATCATGGCCGATTCATTAGTATCCCATGTCAAAACCCCGGCGTCTGACACGCAAAATGAGGATATTGAGAGTGGCTCATATACAACAACTTCCAATACAGATTCCCACACACCAAGCAGTCTAAAAACGAAAGATGGTGACTCGGTAATTAACGTTGATGCTCGGTCCAGCTCTCAAATCAAAGCTGCGTCCTTATCCTTAGAGGAACAGGTGAGTTGGAATCATAATACTGCATATGCCATCTGAGTATACTGACGGAAGGAATCAGGTTTCACTGCTGGTTGGTGCGGATTTCTGGAGAACGAAGTCGATTCCCGAGAAAAGAATACCAGGCATAAAACTAAGTGATGGTCCCAATGGTGTAAGGGGAGCTATTTTCAAAGCTGGAACAAAGGTACGTATCCTTTTATCAAATCTCCCAATCGCAGCACTGACAAACTTTCCAGGCAGCGCTTTTTCCATGTGGTGTATCGCTAGCTGCAACTTTCAATACCAACCTCATGTATCAAGTTGGTCAACATCTTGCTGATGAGACGAGAGCCAGATCCGCAGATGTACTTCTGGCGCCTACAGTTTGTTTACATCGTGGACCGTTGGGCGGTCGAAATTTCGAATCGTTTTCCGAGGACCCGTTTTTGACGGGGAAGCTCGCGGTGCAATATATCAAAGGGCTTCAAGATAAGGGGATTGGAGCGACCATTAAACGTGAGTTTTAATTGACTTCTGATATGATAGATAGCTTACTGTTACAGATTTTGTATGCAACGAGCAAGAAACTGAGAGAATGAGGGTTGACTCGGTTATACAAGAGAGACCTTTACGAGAATTGTATCTGAGACCATTTGAGATGGCTATTAGAGATGCGAATCCGTGGGCGGTTATGACTTCGTATAATCTGATTAATGGTGTCCATGCCGACTCACACATGCATATCCTCAAAGACATTTTGAGAGGGGAATGGGGTTATGATGGGTAAGTTAATTCTCTACTTGGTCACGATGTCTGACTTTTGAAAGGACGGTCATGTCTGATTGGGGTGGAGTAAACTCGATAATTGACTCTATCGAAGCTGGTTGTGATGTGGAAATGCCCAATTCCTCGAAATGGCGAGGTGGAAAGGCCATAGCCGCTGTAAAAGATGGTTCTCTAAGCAAAGAAGCTGTGGAACAAGCCGCTGCGAATGTTCTATATTTGGTCGAACGAACCAAGGGCAATGACATGTCATCCGAAGCAGCCGAACGTGAAGACGACCGGGAAGAAACACGAAAACTCATACGAGATGCTGGTGTCGAAGGTATTGTTTTATTGAAGAATGAAGGTGGTTTGCTCCCAATCAAACCATCTCAAACGAAGATCGCGGTTATCGGACCAAATGCAAACCGAGCTATCGCTGGAGGTGGTGGGAGTGCGAGTCTTAACCCTTATTACAACACCATTTCTCTGGACAGTATTAGAGCCGTTTCCGAAAGGGATGTCACATACTCTCTTGGATGTCAAACATATAAATGGCTTCCTCTAGCGGCTGACTACTGTACCACCTCTTCTGGGGAGCAAGGGGTTAGCCTTGAATTTTTTGTGGGCGATAAATTTGAAGGCACGCCGAAAGTTATCCAGCACAGGACGAATACGGATTTGTTTTTATGGGACTCCGTTCCACTGGAAGTAGGAGGTGTGTGGTCATGTTACTGCAAGACGAGAATTACACCTACAACTACTGGTCGACATACAATCGGTTTTTCGAGTGTTGGCCCTGGGAGATTACTTGTGAATGGAAAGGTGGTTATTGATCTTTGGGACTGGACGGACGAAGGAGAAGCAATGTTCGATGGTTCGAAAGATATTTTGGCCGATATAGTTATGGAAGCCGACGTTCCAGTGGAAATCATTGCAGAAATCAACAATGAAGTTCGTCCCATAACCCGCCAAAAACAAGCCAAAATGACACATCATAATGGTGGTTGTCGAATCGGCTACAAAGAAGAGGATAAAATCGATTACCTACAAGAAGCAGTGGAAGCAGCTAAAGTTGCGCATGTTGCGATTGTTATTGTAGGTCTTGATGAAGAGTGGGAATCTGAGGGGTATGATCGCCAGACTATGGATTTACCGAAGGATGGAAGTCAGGATCGACTTATTGAGGCAGTTGTGAAGGCGAATCCTAGGAGCATTGTTGTTAATCAATCTGGAAGTCCTGTTACCATGCCATGGGTGGAGAAGGTTCCTGCTATTTTGCAGGCGTGGTATCAAGGACAGGAAGCTGGGAATGCATTGGCCGATGTTCTTTTTGGGGTTAGGAATCCAAGTGGGAAGTTACCCGTGAGTACTCTCCTCTCCAATCCTTCTTCCTTTTTGTGTTTTGTTGAAGGGTACTGAGAGCTGATGTGAACCGTGATAGACCACATTCCCTAAACGTCTAGAAGATAACCCAACATACCATAACTGGCCAGGTGGAAACCTTCAAGTCCTTTACGGTGAGGGTCTTTACATTGGATACAGACATTACGAACACCTCTCTCTCGCGCCTCTATTCCCATTCGGTCACGGGTTATCATATACCACTTTTTGTTACGGCCCTCCCTCGCTCTCCTCTTCCGTACTTAAGAACAACCAAACTATCACTCTCAGTCTAACCATCACCAACACCGGCTCTAGAGAAGGAGCGGAAGTCATACAAGTTTACATCAAACAGAAAAAGAGTCGCCTACCCCGCCCAGAGAAAGAACTGAAAGGTTTTTGCAAAGTTGAACTGCGGGAAGGGGAAGGCAAGGAGGTACAGATTGAGCTGGATAGGTATTCGGTTGGTTATTGGGATACGGAGTTAAGAGATGGAAAGGGTGCGTGGATTGCGGAAAAGGGGGATTTTGAGGTGTTGGTTGGGGGGAGTAGTGTTGATATTCGGGGATGTGTGGGGTTTGTTGTTGAGGGGTTTACTTGGGTTTTTTAGAGGGAGGGGGTTTGTGTTATGGTTGGCTGGGTGGAGTTGGTCTTCTTCTTTGGTGTTGTGCAGACCGGTTGTCTCTGTTGAGTTGAGGTAGGAGATGTTGTTTCTTAAGGTGGGTTTAGAGGATAGGGGGACGGGATTGGTTTTGATGATACCTAGGTAATGAATGTTTTAATTTCTTAACGATAACTGCGGGACTCTATGATGGTGGACTGGCTCTTTGCTGGAATTTCCATTTTTCTTCCATGATCTATCTCCTTACTACATCTGTGAGGTGGTGTTTATGATGTGTGTGGAACAATACTCTCTTGTAAAAGGCAAATTTTACATTTGATGGGTTTGTATACTTATTGTTGAGTAGAGCTCATATAGGTGAATTTGCTAGCATGTGATAGTAGTCTAAGCGCTAGCATATACATTTAGTACGTCGAGTCTTGTAAACCGTCTTTCCCACCTAGTTAGCTAGGCAGTAAGTAGTTCGACCGGGATTCTTGCTTCCATGAGATAAGCGACTTAAGTAAGTACTATAATTGACTCACAGTAAATTAAGCGACTTCTAGGATATCCCCCTCAGAGGTGGGGTGCACAAAAGGCTTTACTTACCTATAGTCTCTAGGTTTTAATTATAGTATTTCAGATGGCTTGATCAATATCCCGGACTTGTTGAGGTGATATATTTAGGTGGTTTTAGATAGAATGACGAGTAATCTTACCTATAGGTATGACGTTACTCGTAGACGGAATCGGAAGATTATCTAGCTGCATATTCTGTTCTTAGATTTAGATTGTATGTAAGGTTTCAAATTGTATCATTGGATGAACGTTAAACACAATTTGTTAGATTGTCAACAGTTGCTTTTCAAGGATGATCGAAGTCGTCGTATGGAGATGAGAATAGGTATGGGGAAAAGAAACTTTTTGCTGCAACTCCGAGAAACTTTCCGATATTGTAATTGTCCGTTAAGTGAAAAAAACGGAAAAAAAGAGTCTTCGAAATATATTCAGCCCCAATTATTTTTGGTGTTGTGAATTCCCCAAAGTGTCATCACCGTAATCGGCCCCAGTTTCCGTCTAGGAACCCCTGCGACCCTGTACGAACCCCCTGCAACATCCAAAGATCACCAATACCACGTACTTCCCCAGCTGTCCCTCCCATCTCCCTCTCAATATCAGTCGCTCTCCCTTCTTCACTGCCTTACGCCCCTCGGAATGGCAGAATCACACAGATACAATGCCACCTACATATTATAGCACCTCGCGCTCAACACGCGACCACTTCGTCGAACCTCCTTCGCTGCTCGCGAGCACCCTCGCGCGTTTCCCCTCTGAGATATCTGTACAGATCCACAGGATGTGCGAGAGAAGTGGGATTGCGAATGGGGTTTCGACGAGACAGAGAGGCTTGAGGAGGTGGCGCTGGGGTTGGAGGGATTGGGTTAATCTTCCGCATGCGCTGATTGCGGTTTGGTTTGTTGTGTTGCTTTGGGGGGAGAGATGGGTATTTCAAAATGCGGTGGAGGATTGTAGATGGGGAAATTGGGAACGATGGGTAGGTTGTTTACTGGGGTTTCTGTGGAGAGGTATTGTTGGGTTGGAGTTGTGGCTAACTATAAATTATAGCCCAAGGAAGCGACGCCTCATCATTTGATACTACTCGCAGATCCCCAAATTATCGATCCTCATTCATATCCTGGTCGTCCGTGGCCGTTGAAAGAGCTTACCATGTTGCATGCGGATAATTATATGAAGAGGAGTTATATCTCCCTGCAAAAGAAGCTACACCCAGACACCATTTTCTTCCTGGGGGATCTCTTCGATGGAGGACGGGAATGGAAGGCCGCAGTAGGGAACGTCGAGGATCTGACATGGGCAAATGATCAGCCACCACTCAAAGAGGGGGAGGAACCGCCTCCAAAGAATTTTACATGGGGCCAGAGGTTTGGCGAGGACTTTTGGCTTCATGAGTACGATCGATTTGGGAGGATATTCTACAAGTACTGGAATTTGGGAGGGTCGGAGGCTGGACCGGGCCAACGTGGGAGAAGGATCATCTCGAGTTTGCCTGGAAATCATGATCTTGGATATGGAGAGCTTATTAAAATCCCAATACGGGATCGATTCGAAGGATATTTTGGGGAGGGAAATAGGGTGGATGTTATTGCGAATCACACGTTTGTTTCGATAGATTCGGTCTCACTGGGTGCTAGCGAATCGGATCATGACACGACGGAAATCACGAAGCCAGTAAATGAATTTCTAGCGAACGCTAAAGTTTTGAAGAGGAAGGCTGTTGCGAATGAATTGAGCTACCTGGCTGGTCGGGAAAGAATCATAAAATATAGTCATGGAGTAGAGGATTTGGAGACTGCGGATTTCAACAAGATGCCAAGTTCTGATCCAGGGCCGGATACTCCTGATCTTCCTACTATACTCCTCACTCATGTCCCTCTCTACCGAAATCCAGGAACTCCATGTGGACCTCTGAGGGAAAGATATCCTCCAGCAAAACCACCGCCAGGACAAAAAACTCATGTATCCCCAGACGAGAGGAATGCCCTTCCTGTTTCCCGGGGTTATCAATATCAAACAGTATTGAGCGAAAGTGACTCTATTAAGGTGATAGAGTCAATTGGAAATGTACAGCAAGTTTTCTCTGGGGATGATCACGATTACTGTGAAATCATCCATCCAGAAAACAAGAACAGAGCGAGAGAAATCACCGTGAAGGCCGTATCATGGTGTATGGGCGTACGAAAACCAGGATTCCTCATGCTCAGTATGTGGAATCCCATCGGACCAGATGGAAGACCTCTACATTCAACACCAACCGGACACGGCGCTGCTCCTACCATACCACTTACCACAGAAACGCATTTATGTTTGCTACCCGACCAAATAGGGATTCTCATCCGCTATGGAATCCTCATAGGCATCTCCCTCCTTGCCCTCATCATCCGGGCTATCTTGACTCCTATTTTAAAACTTACACCTTTCGCCCCACCACCACAAACCTACATCGAGTCCTCCCTCCTCCCAACCACTCGATCACGTACTCTATCGCTCTCGCAACAAAAAACGTCCACCTTCTCCAACTCCTCCACCTCCTCCACAACATCCAAAACTCTCGCACCCCGCACCATGGGCGCGAGGACCCGACCCATCTCCCCTATCAATGGATACGGCCCCAACGGCTACGGGATCCCGCACCATCAAAGTCTCCCACTCATTAATCACGCGGGGTATTTCCCTTCCCCCGAGCAGGAATTGGAGGACCAGATGGATTTTGATGATAAGAAGGGAGGATTAGTGAGGAAGGAAGCGAATTTGACGCCCCTGCAGAAGATTTGGAGGGAGTTTTATATGAGTTTTTGTAGGGTGGTGTGGGTGGTTGTGGGGGTTTATGCGTGGCTGGTTTGGTTTTATCCGGAATGAGGGGATGAGTGGAGTGAGTGGGATATGTGGGAAGGGTAGGGTAGGGGACTGTATTAATTCATTATTTTATTGGTCTTCTTTGGATGAAGTGATTTAGATGTCTGCTGGTGTTGAGGGTATAGGTTAGTATCAAGACTTTGATCGGTTGATTACCTTGTCTTGTCCTAGGTTTTACCTAGTGTTTGTTTTTCTGTTCTTTTTCTTCTCTACTTTTCTTATTCTTGGGTAATGGAATGTTAAGTGGTTACCGTAAGTGGCCAAGTTAAGCTAGCTAAAGTAGATAGCTGCTTTTTGTGATGCTGGCCTTGTATCTACCTAGGAAGGGAAGGCAACCATGCCAAGATCACGTGTCAGACCTCGATCAAGTCCTGTCAACCATCGTCACGCGCTTCTTCTCCGCGCAACACCAACTTTTCACTCCACCACTTTTCGCAACCATGGGCCACCTTTGGCCTCTTTTCCCTTACACCTGATGCGCGCTTCTTCTCTTCTTTCCGGCCCACGACCCCTTCTTTCTTTCAATTCTTCCCTTTTGCGGTACTTGTATCGCGCTGTAGGTACGGCTTTATCGCTGTCCTTCTTTATATTTTTCAACTGGTCTTTGGATCTGTCTCCAGGTACGGCTTTACTGCTGTCCTTCTTCTTCTTTAACTGGTCTTCGGATCATTTACAGGTATACGAGGCCGAACTGCGGGTGAAATACGACACGCTTGCCATCAAGTACAATAAATTGGCCGTAGAACATGACAATAACGTCAACGAGTTGATTCAATTGAGGGAGGAACTCGCAAGCAATGAAAAGCATGTCGATTGACTCAAAGATTGGATCAGGGCTCAGGTTTCAAGACCACAGAGGATCAAAAGACCATCGACGAACTAAACACGCAGCTTTCCGAGGCCAATGTGATCTGGGCGTCGGGTAAAATGCCCGACACTGTACAGAATCGCTTCGATAACCTCTCGCTACAAATCAAATTATTGAAAGAATATTTGCAAAGCGAGAAGAATATGCATAAATCTTTCCGTCAGAAGCAACTGCACCGCATGACTGAGATCGAGGTAGAGAAGAATGAGATGGAGGAAGAGAGAGATGGGGCTAGGCAAGAACTCAAGACCATCTGCGAGACAGTCAATCCCCAAGCGGCTAAAGATGTCCTTGACCGCGCCTGGTAAGAGGCTGCTAAACTTAAGTCGGAGGTTACTAGACTCAGATCGGAGGCTGCTGAACTCAAGTCGGATTACCAGGGTATGATCACGAAGGCGGATTGGGAAAAGGAGAAAGCTGAACTTCAGGAGACTATCGCCAAGCAAAAGAAGACAATTACCTCCCTTAAATTTTTTACTTCAGAGCATCACATGGGATGCATTGATCCTCTGAGCAGAGTTAAATGGGTTGAGATGGAGATGTCCTCGACAGCCAAGGATAAGGAGATTCAATCACTCAAAGAAGAACTCAAAAAATCTGAGGATAGCAGAGTGGAGACCGGATAGTTTGAGGGCAGATTGGACGGCAGATAAACGCATTTGCAATGATGGATGGGGGGGTTGAGGGGGTGGGACTGACAGTTGCTCTGCTAGAATAAGAATATAATTGCTTCAAAGATTCTCGAATGTTATCGTCGCGAGTGAGTTAATATCTGCTATCGTAGGACTATGTTTAAGACGAGGTTTTCCTGTTTATATTGGTGTGGCAGAAGATCCTTCGTGCCAGTGGCATATAAGAGACATGGTTATTACTCTATATACACCTCTCTTAGAACAATATTATTCTAGAAGCCTCGCCAAATAAAATGATCATATAGAGCTTAGAAAAATTGTTAATTATTACTTCTTATTAGTTAATGTATACTAATACGATTATTTCACTTGTGCTAAAAGTTTAGTATAATAACTTTTTATATAGTGAGTACAGAGTAATGACCACAAAGTGAGTTCGCTTTTCTTTCAGACACTTACGTATGATGTTTCTCCTACTACGTCGAGAATCTAGTAATTGTTTTGAAGAAAGAATCCTGCACTAAACGAGGCGAAGTGGGTAATTAGACTTGGATAATTCTTTCTTCATACAGGATCCTAGGTACTTTCTATTTGTTAGAAGCTAAAATTTACACCCTCTAACACTCTATTTCTTTGGTGCGACATCTAGAACATTGCATTAGAACATCGATTCGGGTCTGGAAGTGCATGACCGGAGCTTACTGAATTGGAAATGAATAATATCACCATCTTGAACCACATAAGTCTTTCCCTCTTGTCTATACTTGCCAGCTGCTTTAATAGGCGCCATCGACTTTGCTCCGTCACACAGATCGTGGAAGTCTTGATATGCTACTACTTCAGCTTTAATGAATCCTCGTTCAAAGTCGCCGTGAATTGCTCCGGCTACACGAAACGATTGTCAGTCTCTCAGCTCGATTCCCAGAAAGCGGCAACATACCAGCCTGGGGAGCTAGACACCCTCGCGGGATAGTCCAACATCTGATTTCCTTTTCCCCAGCTATTCACATTGTAAGCATATTTCTACCACATTAGACATTCGGAAGAAAACTCACCGGTAAAATAGTATTGTAAGCCCAACTTTGTAAAGCCCTCTGTGATGATCTTATCCAGCTTACTCTTTACCTTAACCTCCTTCTCCTTCAGGGAAGCATCGACGGCTTCTTGTCCTCCTTCTTTTTTAAGTGCATAAATCTTCTCTTCAAACTCCACGCTGAAGGGGATGATATCCCTTGGGACACCGCCATGCTCGGTGACCCATTTAGCGATTAATGGAAGATATTTTGATTTTTGGCGGAGGTAGTCCTTCATTGTTAAGTTTACGAGATAGATGACTGGTTTTGTAGTGATGAGTTGAATCTTCAATCATGTTAGTTGTACCTTCTGTGATGAGAACATAAAACCTACTCGTTCGTTGATTAGTTCAATCTCTCCTGAAGTCCAAGTTCCGTCTCGGACTGGGATATTCTTTTCTAGAAGCTGTGAAAATGTCAATTCGCTGAGGTCTTTAACGCGCACAAAGTCGGCACGCGCTTACTGCTTGAATCTTGGCTGTGGTACTCGGAAAGAGAGGGTTCATCTTAAATTTACCACCTGCTTTACGAACAGTCGCTTCTTCTGCCACAATTTGTTTTTGGAGAATGTCTAAAACCAACATCAACTTCCAGTACTCATTCGTTCACCAGTCATTAAATGTAACATACCTAAATCCTTCTTACAAAGCTCACTCTGAATAGTTTCTACAGAAGTTAACCCCTGTACTTCAAGTGGCCATAGTCCCTCTAGAATAGATCACTTGCCCAAATCTCGGACAGGATCTATGGAGTCATCAACGTGTAGAACCTCATCGTTATCGAATGCTCGGACAATATGGAACATGCCGTCCACAGCTTGAATGTGGGAAAGAAAAGCATTTCCAAGACCTTCTCCTTGAGAAGCTCCTTTGATGAGGCCAGCGATATCGGTTACTTGAAGATAAGCAGGGTACATAGAAGGTGGCTTCCAGAGATCGCAAAGGAAGTTCTGATGAGGTGTTAGCGGGATTCTAGAATTAGGACCAAAGAGACGCATATTTTTGATATGAAATAAACTGAATCATCGATAAGACCGGAATACATCAAAATTTCCGAGGTGATAGTGTCGGATTAATTGTATTGAGAGCTGACCTCGAGCAAGCAGAAAAATCACACTTGTCAACAAGTTGAGAAGTGACTTACATATCTTTCATCAGGAACAGCACATCTTGCTTCATTAGGATCAATAGTACAGAATGGAAAGTTCTCTGCAGGAGCACTCTGTTCAGTCAAGAGATTGAACAGGGAACTCTTTCCCACGTTTGGTAGCCCCACACATCCCATCTTGAGATTTTTGCGGACTCTTCCGAACGCAACGACATTGGACTTAACATCCACGGTGGCAGCTTTTTTGGGAGGCATATTGAAGTTGCGAAAGGATGTATAGAGAAGTGATTGAAGGGGTATATTTCGCGAATAGAGGGGTGAAGTTTTGCAGGATCGAAGTGGCCTGACTTTTTGAGGAGGCCGAGATGTGCCCGGTATTTGAACAGGGGTGCATAGAAAGGGTGATTGTTTTTTGAGGAATGAAGTTATTTATTCTCTACTATTCAAGATACAGGAGGGCCCTAAGGAGTCTAAGTACTAGTCCGATTATTATCCCATATTTTGTTTAATAAACTTGATCTAAAATGCTCCGGTCACGGGGATACAAGACTTCATAATAACAGAATTCAAATACTTTGCTCTCCTTAATTCTTGCGAAGATCGATAAGTGAAGGCAACGTTGAAGCAAATGCTCAAGAGTTACGGCATACTCTACCTTCTTCTCTTGGGTACCCCAAACAATAAAGCAAACCCTTATAAGACAGTTAGGCGAAACTCTCTGCACACCTTTGAAACCCTACTACTATACTAGAATTCCTAAAACAAATAACTTAATTGTCTTAAATTACTTAGCTTAATAAAGATTTATTAATTTCAATTATCCCGAATCGCCCGGAGAACCATTTTAATTGTATGAGACATTTAGAATGATATCTTTTTCTAGTTTAGGTGTGTCCAGAGTTTCTCCTAACTGTCTTGTAAACCTTTTTTCTGTGGTTGCGGCGGCTTCGACTTTCAATAACTCTACGGTTGACCATCTTTGGCTTCTACGGCATCCCGAATCTACTGCTAAACTAGATAACTTAATCGTAAATCGCAAAAGTTACTTTTAAGGTTATTTTATAGGAAATCGCAAGTCGTAAATCGCAAACTGGCTCAGGGTTAGGGTTATATAATAGCGCTAGAATTAAAGGTAAAACTACTCGATATAATTAAATAGGTAAGCTTAAATTTAGCTCGAATACTCCTGCTCTTAGATATAGGTAACTCGTTCGCTCCTTTAACTCTACCTACCCCTACCCTTAGACTTTACGTATAGCTGTTTACGTGCCAAGGTATTTTTACGTGTATACGTCCTCTTACTGTTGTATCCTCGCTGTCGCTGTTATAAAAAAGAGAGAAGAGAAAAGTAGGAGGGATAGAGCGAGGAAAGGTAGGTAGCAAATAATTGTTAGCGCAACACGTGCTAGCCTAGCCGTTTTAGGAAGGTAGTATTTAGGGCTAGGAATAAGTAATATATGTAACTAAAATATTTCCCCGCTTTTGACCCTCTCTCTCCCTCTTCTTCTCTCCCTTTCTCCCTAATAGTATACTAGGGTACAACTCTATTCGGCAGTGTGTGTGGGCGATAGTAAGGATACGACAGTGAGGATACGACAGTAAGGATACGACAGTAAGGATATAATAGTAAGGATAAGCGGCAGCGAGGGTAGGTGACAGTAGGGGTATAGGTAGTCAAGGTATCTACGTAAAAATACCTAGGCACGTGAAGTCTAAGGTAGGGGTGTAGGGGTATAGGTACTCTAGTACAGTAGTAGTTAATATATAACTTTTGCGATTTGCGATTTACGATTAAGTTATCTAGTTTAGTAGTAGATTCGGGATGCCGTAGCTTCTTACAGTGGTATTATACTAAGATCATTTCCAGTTCACGTAACATCATTACTAATATCCCTTTATCTTCAACCGCCGAATTCCGTAAATTCGCTTTCTCGCTTAACAATTTTCAATCTCTTTGAGTACAGAATCACAGCCACCGCCACCAGAGCAGGCAATTTTATAGCCGCTAAACTTAGAATACTATGTCATGGCAAATGAAGTTTTAGATAACTAAGTAGAATACAGTGACGATTCGTACACACAGAGTTACTGAGCAAGCAAAGCCTTCTGACGTGCTCGTAACATTGAGTGGATATTGCCGGGACATGGATACATAAAACTCACTGCAGAACTTGTAAGAGTATTGAGGCAATGATACATTCACATAATTATGTGATACTACCTAGCGGTAGCATAGCATATGGACCAATTAATCTTAAATCTGGGATTTAGGAATACGTAATTAGGGTATAAAATGGCCAGACGTAGGTATGTGTTTCCTTCATAATTAATATATAAAAACTTTAATAAATTGAATTAACTACATATAAGAAATTATACTAATTCTAATCCTCTAAACCGCTTCAAATACTATGAATACTATTACTTCCTAATATATGCGGATTATTACTTCTCTTCATACTTACCTCTATTCAAAAATAGATTTTTATAACCATTAGATTTACTATTAGTAGGTTCAATAATAAATATTCTTGTAAAAAGCTATATCTTAATTAGAAGCGGGGGTTTGGCGCAGTGTCAGAAAAGAAAGTGGGGAGTGGGCCACGCTTTCGGGGAGACAAGTTTGGCACTCCAAGCCACCACCAATTCATCTCAGCCAGTCTACTGTTACTGTTATTACTGGTCCAGCCCCCCAACCCAGTGGATATCAAATCCTTCTCCACACTCTACTAGCTACACACTCAATCTCAGCCCTGGAGCTCACCGTGGTTAGCCTTGGCCTCACCCCCAATCAAGGGCAGTTTGGCGCTCTTAGAGCACGCGCATCAATTTGTGCAACCCGACAGGCTGCATCTCACCATAAGTGTCACTTTTATTGGTTGGCCGAAAAACGCCTCGAAGGGCTGTGTTCTGTGTAGTATTCATTCATAGTAAATGAGCGGCAGCATAATTATATGAATCCATTTCTTCATACCTCAATTAGTGGGAACAGGAAGTAAAGTTCTATCACCTATCTCGGACCTTGCATACTACTACCTACAACATTCTTGTTCTACACTCTTGTTTCGAGAAAATGGCATCGAAAAGGACGGCAGTTGAAGAGGTTTCAACGAAGGAAAGGCTCTCTATTCCGTGCTGGAAAAATGCGTCTTTACCAGCTCATATCGGGAAGCGATCATTAGAGCAATATCACTATCAGAAGCTCAATGGCGAAAACGAGTTGCGGCTTTTATGTGTACGGCAGTCAGCAGATTCGTGCAGTTTTGAGATTGTGCACCACACTTTGTCGGAATTCCTTGAGTATGAGGCTATCTCATATGTATGGGGCAATCCGGAGAGAACTCACACCCTCTTGCTTGCCGGTGATGTGACGATTCCCCTCACCAGTTCGTTGTACACAGCTCTGCCCTATCTTGCCGCTCGGTCGAGGACAGGATATCTTTGGATTGATCAAATTTGCATCAACCAGAAAGACGTCGGGGAGCGCAACGCTGAAGTACCAAAAATGGGGACTGTTTACAAAAGGGCTACACGTGTAATTGCATGGCTAGGTGAAGATGATTCGGACACTAGACTTATACAAGAGATAATTCAGACTGCTGGAGAAGTACCGAAGAAGCCTGGAACGTCACAATATTACAAACGCCTGGACCCTGAAGTTGTAGAACATGTTTCATCCTTATTTTCTGTACAGCCAGACCAGGATTTCCATCTTCATGCGTTTTCTCACTTTTTGGATAACCCCTGGTATCGATGCACATGGTGCTTCCAAGAGGCAATACTTGGTAAATCTCTATCTCTCCTGGTTGGAAAATTCGAATTGCGAGATGGCCTCGAGCCGTTATTCGTCGCCGTTATTGTACTTAAGTCCAGGTCGGATAATGCAGAAGAGTACAGGCAGATTTGCTTCAACAAGGCCATACTTCCGTTAGACTCCATGTTCTTCGAGCGGCGGCGGATACATCTCCGTCAACATCATACACCATTTCATGTGCTACTCTCTGATATTGGTGGATATTGCGAAGCAACCGACCCTACGGACACTTTATATGGCTTTCTCGGCCTTCAAACTAACCCAAATATAATGCTTTAGGCAAATTATAGCCTTTCCGTGGAAGAAACCTTCATTGAAACTAGCAGGGCTATCATTACTGGCACCCGGAGCTTGGATATTTTCAACGCTATTTGAATGTCACGGTTTAGGAAATATGAACTACCTTCCTGGGTTCCGGACTGGTCATCTGCCGGCAGAGCCACATCAATAGTTACTGCTTGGGACCACCATGAATCAAATCCATTCGTGGCCTCAGCTGGGCGTCACTACAATTTCCCGGAAAGGCGAGAACACTCTCTGGCTCTCTCTGTCCGGGGTCGCTCCATTGCCTGCTTAACATATCTTGCTCCGCTCCAGGAATCATTCGAAGAAATGTCTCACTTTGAACAAGTTAAACGCCACGTCCCTCTTAACACGTATATAGAGCAAATGCAACGAGATTGCCCATTGCTTGCAGAAGTTACAAGGGAAAGGCTGCTGAAAGTCATTCTTGCAGACTGCGCAGCAGACACCGAGCGAGTCCGATCGAACATCAAAGACCTCCTTCACAGCTACGACATGCTTTGTTCAGATGAAGTTAGGAGCAAACTTTCGAGGTCTACATTCGATGCCTATGTCATGGATTTGTTCGAGCTCTCGCATCCCGCACGTACGAGGAGGATCTTCTGCACTATGGATGGAAAATTAGGACTTGGGCCTAGGAACTCTGAGATCTTTGATCAGGTTGCCATCATTCACGGGTCTAGGATGCCACTGGTACTGCGCTCAACTGGTACCGGAGAGCACTGGCTAGTGGGTAGATGTTATCTTGAGGGCATTATGAATGGCGAAGCCTGTACCTGGCCAGAAGATGAAGCAGACGAATTCATTCTAGTCTAAAACTTTGCCAAAGGATATCGGTTGATTAAATATGACCAGATTTTGATAGCGACTTGTTGTGCTGGATCCATATGTTTCCCCGCATTCAATCTACTTCGCTTATCTTGGGCCACTATATGATCTGCCATTTGGATCTACCATATGATCTACCACGTTGACCCACTGTATAATCACTAGTCTGATTTCTCGTTCCGTATTCTCATTCCGTATTCTCTCGTTCATCTCAGGTTCATGATTACTTGCAGTATTTCAAAAATCTGACGTGATTACATAGCTGAACTGCCTCATAACATTTGACACCATCATTTTGATAACCTGATGAAGAGTGAAAACGGATGTCATACTCTCCGGACGCCGCTGCTTTAGAAAACAAGGCAAGAGGAGAGGGTGGTCGCTGGTGGCTGGTCAACGCTAAGCGAGCCCCACTTAACAATCTTCTTATCTGCAACTCCTCCCAGCGCCGTCTTCTTTTCAACCATCTCCACAACACAGTCCGAAATCCACAGTCAGACCACCTTTCTTCCCTCCAAAACTGGGGCCAAGAACATTTACCCGTGGGCTTACGCTTTCATGGTTGGCTCCTCCGAGGTCAATGCCAAAAGGAATGGGTCGGATCTGGTGAGGCGGTGGAGAATGAGGCTGTGACCAAGCTTTCCGAGGCCTTCTCGCCCAAGAAATTAGATGGTTCTTTCAAGTTGGTGTCCGTGGTTCTGATTCGTCGGGAGCCTTACTATACCGAAGAATATCAAGAACTCTTCGATAATTTCTGGATCGAGCTTGTTCAAAACAACATCTTCAATGGTCCATTGCAATTTTTCCAAAAAGAGCTTCAAAATAATGCCGGCAACAAGTGGGGGTGTGGATTAACCACGACATGACAGTGAGCCTCCCCCACCAGATCTGGATGCAGAAGCCTGGAAAGCAGAATGCGGACCAACCCATCAAGCGATACGCCACTCATCCCGCTCGGTATACGTTCCCATCCTTGGAACACTACGAATTGACCCTTGGTGCGGCATTGGTTCACGAAATCGGCCATGAGCGGGAGGTGATCGCCAAGTACTTCTCGCCTAAGAAAATGCAATACGCCTTCGTTTATAGCTGTCAAGAGGGTCAGATTTTCTTGATGGTTGAAATCCCCCAGGATGGCGACCTCCAAGAGCTCGTTCCTGGCGATAAGATGGACCTCCACATCAAAGCCCTCGTGGATGATAACTATAACAACATCAGTCCGCGCACGGGATCTCCTGGCACCATCAAGAATGCCAGCGTGTTCAAGGTTATCAACGCTGGCAAATTCATTCTCGAAATCCGAAGCTATGTCTCCTACGAAGTGAGAAAGCACTGGCTCCGCCGAGGCAGCTGGGTCGAGATGGGCATTCAAATGCAGCAAAATCTTCTGCCGGCCCAGCGTCAATTGATGGCTCTTGAACGAATTGTGCAGCAGAGTCAACAGTCCAAGCGCCAAAAATTGCAGAATCTGCTCCTTCACGGATCCATGCCACATAACGAGGACGCGCTCCCCAAACATACTCTTAATGAGTTGAGCGCGGAAGAGTTCACGGTCTGGTCACTGTTTATGGACAGCCAACACCTCAACACTCGACAAACCGACGCAGTCCTCAAGGTAGTGGACAATAACTTCTCCCTCGTCATTGGTCCACCCGGCACTGGAAAGACATCCTTTAATGGAGTTGTCACGACTGCGTGCAGCGCTTCCGGCCACAAGGTCCTCGCCAACGCCCCAACTAACGACGCATGCAAGGCGATCGTCGAATAGACGGAGCAAGTGAACAATGCCTTGCGAAACCTGGTCGTTCAGGATAATGCTTTGCGGGGAGTTCCTGCGCGTATGGCCGATAGGATGGGACTCTTGGTCTTGCCAACTTTGAGTGGCTTCAAGCGGGATATGTACCCGAATCTCGAAAAGTACAAGGACCACCGTATGAAGAATTGGGTCGTCCCGGATCAGTACAAACTCTGGCCTCGAATGAAGGCCCATATCGAACGCGAAGCCCAACGTGGGGAGGCAGAGTACATCCAATGGCTCCGGGATTACCAGTGTATCGCTGGTGGTGGTAGATTGGAAAAGGCAGCCGACATGACCAAGTACCAGCTCCTTCTCAAAAAGGTCCAGTCGACGGTCATTGAAAATGGTGGCGTCAATGTGATTGTTTCCACCTGCAACAATTCCGCCTTGTTGTGGGACCTCGGCAAATGGAAACCAGACATCGCACTCATCGACGAGTGTGCCTACGCCCTCGAGATGGATTCCCTGATCAGCCTTTCTCACGGAGCCGCCAACGTGTTGATTGTCGGAGATCACAACCAGCTACGACCTCTCGTCAAGTCCCGAGGATTCCAGGAATACGCCCAGCAGCACAGCACATCCCTCTTCGAGCGCCTGGTGCACCTCTTCCCAGAGCATGTAGTCATGCTGAACGAGAATTACCGCTCGCATCCTGACGTCTCCGACTTTGTCTACAAGCTGACATATGGGCATGTCGAGAACAAGTGGGCAAGTGTGCCTTCCAATGTGGCCCAGGACGTCAACTTTGCGGTGGAAGAAGTCTTCCAGCAGTCCCGATTGTGCCAGCACCTTGGTATCACCCGTCGCGACCCTACCCTCGCCAAATATCCCAAGCAGAACCGAAGCCTTCGTTGTGTTCTATTTAATATTAAAAATGGTAAGTCTGGCCGCCTCCCCAACAGTGCTTCTTGAGTCAATTACGCCAATGTCAATGCCATTCTTGCAATGGTAAGACAGATGTATGCTACTGTTGACCAGCAGGGAAACCGTGTCGTCGACCTCACCAAGGTCGTCATCATCACCGGATATCACGACCAGATGGTCGCCATTCGCAATGCTCTCCGTCTCGACGGATTCGACGATACAAACGGTCCCTCGGTTAAGACAATCGATACCATGCAAGGTAACGAGAATAATTGGATCATTTTCGACATGACCACGGCCAATCCAAACCACGGAGCCGATCTGGGTTTCGTGGGAAAGGACTGGCATCGACTTAATGTTGCGCTGACCCGTGCACAGAATAATCTCTGGATTGTAGGTAATCTGGACCTGTGGTGGTCGGAACTCAACATTATTTATGCCCACCACGACGCCCGAAATCTCGCTTGTTTCCTGCTCGACCTCGTGCAGCGCGGCAACGTTCTCGACTGTTCTAATGTCGACGCCGACCATATCAGTGGCGACGATGATCATGGTGATGAGGCGGTTTTGGCGATGCCCAGTCCCGAGCCTGTCATCATTGACCCCGAAGTCAAGAAGCTCAAGGCCGAATGGGCAGATCTGACCAAACAACAGGCCTTCCTGGACAAACTCGCTCTTCGAGTTCAAAAGGTGTATGATTACGCCGAAACTGAACGTCTGGCCTTCCTGGCCAATCCCCAACATGTCGGTACAGCCGGCAATTTCGATGGACCCGAGGAGACTTCTGCTGTGGAGGAGGGTGATGGAAATGGGGATGTTGAGATGACGGGGACGGGTACCGGGGAGGGAGCTGTCGGGGAAGGAGCTACCGGGTCCGGGTTTGTGCAGGCCGGGGAGGACTTTGTAGACTTTGGCAGGTGCTCTACAACAGAGTACCTTGGATCCCAGTCAATAATGGTGATCTGGGAATGGGGTGATGGGTGATGGGTGATGGAGATTTGGTTTTGTGTGGTGGGAACTTGGTTGGGAAATGGGGGGTTTGGGAGGGGATTGGTTCAGAATGAAATTGTAAACATCAATAAACAATGGACTTCTTGAAACCATAATTATTTCTTCATTTGATTGTGAGAGTGATAGGGCGTAGTGACCAGTCTTCATCATCTATATGTCTGCGACCTCGTAAAAGGGGGGGGATACGATGGGTCATTTTCTAGTGTAGGAATTAAGCAAGTGGCTTTGGGATATTCTAGACGCTGGTGTTATCTATGGTGATGATCTTGGGGATGAAATGGGGAAACGCTGGGGTTTGTGGAAATGAAAATGAAAATGAAAGTGGGGGTAATGGGGAGGCTAAGAAAGTTACTATGGAGGATCATCATCTACTAGCTGCTCTTCAAAGATTACGCTAGATATGTTTAGGATAGTTAGCTTAGGTTCCTTTGGTAGTAAGATGAATCTACAGTGGATAAGATTTCCATAGTAGTACTACCTAGGTAGTATAATATCTAAGAATTCTTATATAAAGTTACGTAGTAATAGCTGCTACCCTATAATCCTAAACATCTAGTTTTAAATAATATTACCTTAAAAGCCTTAACGTGCATGTATAGCGAACCGGCCAAACAAGCGAACCGGCCAAAACCCGGCGACCCCACCACACCTCCACGAAATATTAAATTTCTCTACATCGAAGGATGCCTCTGAAAAATGACGAAAGCCGGTTAGTCTTAGCTATCCAAGCTATGCAAAAAGACCCAAATTCACGTGCTCGAGCTGCGCCAGGACCTATTCTGTAGACCACCGGAAGCTAGGTCGACGTTTGCTTGGTATACCTTCACGACGCGATATTTTAGCCAATTCACGGAAAATGACCGAGCTAGAGGAATCAGTACTTGTTCAACATATCCTCGACCTAGCTACAAAAGGATTTCCTCCGCGGATATCTGTAGTTGAAGATATAGCAAATCGACTTCTTGAAGCACGCGACGCGCCACGCGTCGGGACGCGTTGGGCTTATAACTTTGTTAAGCGCCGCCCAGAACTCCAGACACGCTTCCAACGAAAATACGACTATCCGAGAGCTAAGTGCGAAGATCCAGAAGTCATTCGTGGCTGGTTTGAGCTTGTACGAAACACAATAGCGAAGTACGGAATCTACGATGCAGATATCTACAACTTTGACGAGACTGGGTTTATGATGGGCGTTATCTCAACTGCAATGGTTATTACAAGCTCAGAAGGACGTGTAAAAGCAAAAAGAGTACAGCCTGGTAATCGGGAATGGGTTACAGTAATCCAGGGGGTTAATGCCCAAGGCTGGTGTGTTCCACCGTTTGTGATTGTTGCCGCAAAAAATCACCTCGCTTCTTGGTACCAAAACAGTGGATTTCCACCTAACTGGGTGATTGCTATTACTGAAAATGGTTGGACAACAAATGAGAAAGGCATGGATTGGATTCGACATTTTGAGAAGCATACAAAGTCCCAATCTATTGGTGGTTATCGTCTATTAGTCCTCGACGGCCATGAAAGCCACCACTCCGACGAATTTGAGGAATATTGCAAGGAAAACAACATTATCACTCTTTGTATGCCTGCTCATTCTTCTCATATACTCCAGCCACTCGACGTTGGCTGTTTTAGCCCTTTGAAAAGGGCATATGGTCAGCAAATTGAAGATATGATGCGGGCTCAGATCATCCACATTACTAAGGATGATTTCTTTCCTGCCTTCCACGCCGCATTTAATATTGCAATGACAGAAAGCAATATCCGAGGAGGGTTCCGAGGGGCTGGGCTTCTTCCATTTGACCCAGAAAGTGTAATTTCTACACTTGATCTTAAGCTAAAGACGCCAACGCCTCCAAACTCCCCCCCGTATTCCGCTCAGCCTTGGGTTTCCCAGACACCAAATAACCCTACTGAAGCCTTATCACAGACTGCATTTATTAAAGATCGAATTTTACGCCACCAAAGTAGCTCTCCAACCCCTATTTACGAGGCCATTGACCAGTTTACGAAGGGTGCATCAAAAGTAATGCACCAGATAGTACTATTGAAAGCTGAGAACCAGAGACTTCGACAAGCAAATGAAGTACTAAGTAAGCGCCGTAGAGCTAAAAAAACACGCCTACAGCAAGGAGGATCACTTAGTCAACAGGAAGCGCAGGACCTACAGGATGATAGAGACGTTGGTGAGCAGGTAATGCAGGAAATAAAGAGAAGTAGTGGTCGGAAGCCGAGGGAAGAATCACGTGCACGGCGCTGTGGCAACTGCGGAGAGACTGGTCATAATACGCGCACCTGTAATATTATAGAGGAAGTATCTGAGGAAGAAATTTCTGAATAGTGTTTTTTAATTAGAGGCGTTGTGGTAAAGTTCTTACAATTTCAATCGCGAGTGTAGAAAATTTTGGCCGGTTCGCTTGTTTGGCCGGTTCGCTATACATGCACGTTAAAGAAGTAAAATAAATAAACCTATATATAAATGACTTAAGCTAAAATAACTTTACTTATTTCCTATCTATCTAGGTATATTAGAATATAGAAAGTACTTATACTAGCCTTCTAGAATAGTAATATTCTAGAGTTTTTTATAAGTAATAATAAAGTTTATATTCGTAGTTATTTTATTCTATTCTATATTATAATAAAATTACTTTACCTAAACTTCTAGGATAATATCTTTCTAAAGTTTAATATAAGTACAGTAGTAAGAAAGTTAATTAACTTATAGTAATTATTTTATTTTAATTTGTTTTATTCTATTCTATTTTACTCTATCCTGTATCTCCTATATTAAATAGCCTACCCCCCGTCCCTCCCCCCTCCTAGGAAGAAGAAAAACACCTAGAAATATAAATCTAAAATAAGGCTAACCTGTGACGGTTCTAACCGTCACCACCATTCGGATCACGTGGTCTCGCTTAGCGACCCACACCAAGTATTTAGATCGAAGCTCTCTC